CTATGGGTATAACATGTACATACATGTAAGAGGACAATTGTATATCATTTTTGGAGCTATATTCTTATAGCTGATACAAATGTACTCTCAGTTCTTTGTGCATATGCATTATCTACCTTATATTAAAAATATTGATAGCTTTTATTTTTATATCATCTTTATTTCTGAATATATCCCTCCCTCCTTACCCAACATGGCAATTTTGGAAACAATAAAAAAAAAGAAAGGAAGCAAAAACAGTTCAGTAAAATTAGTGGACATACTTACTGTATAAGATGATATGTATAATATTGAACACCCATAGTCCTCTGACTCCGTAAGGAAGGGGGAGGGGCATTTTCCCAACTCTTCTCCAGGACCAGGAGTATTGGTTATTAGAATTATAGAGCATTCAGGGATTTTGTTGTTGTTCTTATCTACTTTGTCATAGTTCTGTCTATTTCCCCCTAGTTCCACCTACTTTGCTCTACATCAGTTCAAATATGTCTTCCTGTCTTCTCTGAATTTCCCATAATCACTGCTCCATACAGAACAGTAATATTATATTACATTTATTGTACAGCCATCTACCAATTGCTGGTGGGTACTTTTTTTTTTAACAGTTATTTGCTAATGTGAAAAGCGCCTCTATGAAAATTTTGTTGGATATGGAGTTCACAGCCAAATTTTAACCTCAGCCTGTTGCCCAGTTTAAATCTACTTTGCCTAGGAGTCCAGAATTCTGATTTAGGAACAGACCAAGGTTTACCTTCCCGCCCCCCCATTCCATAATTTTAATCACATACTGTATTCCTCAGCCTTGCCTATGTGTATGGTTCAGGGCAAACATAATCCAACCATTTAAAAAAAAACAAGTCAAAATCTAAGACCTGCTAATAACGGAGGAGCGGCACCATCATCCATTGGGCAAGACCAGACTCTTGAGACGTGTCCAATGAGTTGAGAGGCATTTTCCTTCTTCCCGCTTCTATTTAACTTAGTAAGAAGATTCCGAAGGCTGTTCAGGGATGGACAGCTAGAGCAGAAACCGCAACCGCGGTGCCCCTGCCGGGGAATCAGGGCCTGAACAAGTCCCTTTCTCGGCTGAAAGCAAAATTTCCCCTTGCACTCTCAGTTACTGTCCACGCTCTCAGAAATGAAGAATCCAAGACGAATCCAAGACTACAGGCTAGCCTAGTGGCTTCCCTGGAAACACCGGGCCAAGCAGGGCAGAAGAAACGGCCCTTAACCTTACTGTCTTCTGTGCTAGTCTGTACTTTATTTGCAGACCGTTTTCCCAAGCTCCCATTAAAAAAAAAAAAGGAAAAAAAAAAAAAGGCTTGCTTGTTTCCTTGAAGAGGTAGTCTCAATTAAAAAAAAAATCTAGGAGAGTATGGGGTGCCGATTCGGCGCTAGACAACTAGGGACTTTCCGGCCCTTTTTTGTCCTTTCTTCTCCTCTTCAGGGCAGAGTAAGTTGAAACCTTAAGGAACAAACACCTCGGCGGATCAGGGCCCGGGTCTATGTTCTTCTCTTGCCTTCCCAGACCCTCTCCCAATTGCTGTGCACTGTCTCTGCGTTGCGCCACGATGACCAAAATCATAGCCGTTAAGGAATCGAAAAGCTTCTCTCCCCCCCCCCCCCCAGCCTAGATAGTTCAACTCGCACAATGATCCCTCTAATCTGCAGCGGTCAGGAGGACCAACTCAGAAAATCTTCTATCAGTTCCCGGAAAGATTTCCTACCGAGGAAAATAGCTGGAAAAGGCCTGGGGAAGGAGAGGGAGAAGCTTGAGTCCATGCAGAGAGTTGGTTTATAGCAGCGTCTCCTGAAAGAGCTCAGGGAAAACCAGCTGGGTCTCTCCTCTCAGCGGAAAGCTAAACCCCGCACATTTTGGACTTGATCGGTTTAATCTGTAGCTCCTGGAGCGGTAGAGGCGGCAGGTGCGCAACGGGGACTGACCCCCTCTTTAGAGCAGTCACCTAAGGCAACCGATCTCTACAAACCCCAGGGCCATCTGCTACTCACCCAAATTCAGAGGCTCGTTCGATAACTAGATCCTTCTATTCGCCTTAATGTTTGCCTTCCTTTAGAAACAAAGCTATCTACGTACTGAGTGCCTCAGGTGTGCCTGGCTCTAACTGGACTTCACCTCTTTCTTTTTCCCTAGAAAGACTAGGTGGTCACCTTTGGTCAAAAATACGCAAAAATAACCCCTTCCCCATCAGCCTCTCCCCATTGCCCAGCTCTATCTCTCTCACGTCTGCCGGGTTCTCAAACCAGGGGAAAGCGAAGAAGAGCGAGGTCCTAGACTGTCCCAGAATTGTAGAAAAAGTAAATAAATTATCAGTATCATGCCATCGCCTTGACTTGGCAAGCCAGCCATAAAATACAACATAATAAATTATTCATCGGAACCATAACAGAAGCCTTGGCTCCTTTCTGATTAGGACACCCTTCCTCTACATCTTCAGCCCCGTTCTTGGATTCCCCCCCCTCCCCAATAATACAAACTAGCGATTTGGTTCAGCTCGAAAGTGTGGCCCTTTAACCGAAGTAGGGCCTAATAAATAAGACAGGGACGCTGATACCCTCTTCAAGCGCAGCAGGAGGTGCGAGTGCGCTTCATAAAGGAAAAGAATAACCGACTGGGAATCAACCTGCCCTCACTGCTGGAGTGTTTCAGGTGGGAATGCAGTGGGGGTAACCAGATTACTTTGATTTCAATGACTGCGGGAAAACGATTTTGGGAAGCCTGCCGAAAGACAACGCCTGCGAGGTTGGAAAACTCCAAGCGTGCGCTTTTGCATAGGAACAGGCCTCTGCCCGCCTCATTTGGGTGATGAGGAAAGTCCTGTAATCGGTAAGGACTAGGAGGACTCCAGGGAGAAGAGGCCAGCTTTCAAACCCTGCATGCAAGTGGGGATCTCCAGGTGACTTAATATTGTTACACAGAGACACCTTTAATCCCAGGCTGGTTCTAAGGAAAGAGAAAGACAGCTGCCTGCCCCCAGTTCGACTTCCCGGCATGTCTCTCTCTTTCCGTGTCTCCAGTTCCAATCGAAATAAGGTCCCCCTCCTCCCCCAGCCCTTCGTAGCTGCTCAGCTGTCCCTGAGGATGCGGCGCTCGCCCAGTGCCCCTCCTACCCTTTCCATTTTTCCTAAGCCCTGAAAAACAGACTGCACGCCAATCGCACAGAGCAGGAATTTTGGTGAAATCAATGAAATGATTTTGGGATCATAAAGAGCTGGAGTGGGAGTCTTTGTAACACTGAACCTTGAACTGCGCATAGGTATCAGGTGCAGGTAAATTCTCCTCTTTTCCTCAGGTCATGAGAGATCACATCTCTCCCTACCTAGGACTTTGGCTAGAGAATCTGTTTGAAAAGGAGGATAATCGATCACGAAAGGACTAGGAATTCATGTCTATCTCAGAGAACAAACAAGCTATATGTAAAAATACAATAGAAATACATGCAGATATCCATGGTAGAAAAGTTCCTTTACTGGGGACTTCTTCGTTGGCAAACTATAGTATTAGCAAGAAATAGAGAGGAACAACGAAAATGTTCCTAGGGACGGGAGTGAGCATTACAGGCTGGAAATATTCAGGACAGCCTCTCTCTCTCTCTCTCTCTCTCTCTCTCTCTCTCTCTCTCTCTTTCTCTCCTCTCTCCTCTCTCTGTCTCTCCTCTCTCTTCTCTCTCTGTCTCTCTGTCTCTGTCTCTGACTCTCTCTCTCTCTCTGCCCCCCAAGCACAAAGCTGTGTCTCTGTGAGAAAGACCCCAACAGTAAAAATAACTAAAAATTAATTTCAGATGCTCTGAAAGCTAAGAGCCCCCAAAGAACTTGTAGTGGTGCTGTTCTTTGGAAGAGGGTTGGCTAAGAAAAGATACGGGTAACACATTCCCTCTCCCTCACCCAGAGACCCAGTTCCCGGTCTCCCTGCCCAGTAGACCCTAAGGCATATCACCTCTGTTTGAGCTGTCCACATTCCAGAGCCCCACGGCCCAGAGCCCTAGGGATTTCTATGAAAAAAAAAGTTTATTTAAATTTTTTACATAAATAAATAAATAAATATCTTCTGGTGTTACAGAAACAGTACAATTACACATCTAGTCAGGAGTGGGGGTGGGAATAGGAGGGGAAGGAGGGAGGAAGTAAAACAGGGACAGATACCAAAACATTTCACAGCCAGTATTTGGACCACGGTGTTATCCATCACATTCCGTTTCGGAAGCCGAGTGAGCTATTTGGAAACAAAGCAAAAAGGTTTCCTCAACACTGACACCACATATTAAAGCATTGCTTGGAGGGGGGCGGGGGTGAGATGCAGGACGGACTTCGATGGTCTGGGACGAATTTATTAGTCCCAAGAGGGACAGACTGGCAATGAGACAGATGGAATTCGAGGAAAGACAGGAAAAAGGAGATTATTTTTGAGACATAAAAGCAGGAGAAGGGGCAGTTGAGAGCGGAAAGGAAGAGAAGTGCCTAAATATGAAACGGAATTCTGTCCAGCAGGGTAAAAGCCAGGCAAACATAGAAAACACGCAGTTAAAGGAAGTGACAGAAAACTTGAAACGAATCTTCAAGAGAGGGGCCAAGGAGAAGGAGACCTGTGGCCAGCAAGTCGCTGGTATGAGGCGGGAAGAGAGACGGATTTCTATGAACAGGCTGGCCGCTCGGCAGCTAAACACTCGAGGAGTTAGACGCCTTTACTGTATTTATAGTTTTTAACTTCACAGTACAGTGTGGGTCAATCCCCCAGACACTCTGTTATGGCTCTGGGGACTGGGCAGTGGGAAGGCATCACCAGTTCTCTAAAAAGCGCGGCGCATCAGCCTGGTCCTTGGGCATCTACAAAACCATATAAAATCCGAGCGCCGCGCTTGGCGTTAGGTAAGGGCGAATTGGGATAGCGCTGAGAGTCCCCAGCACCTGCCTCCCGGGTCAGTCTCTCGAGTAGAGAGGAGGGAGCTAGGACTTGTTAGGGGTAGTGGCTAGGAGAGCCTTGAGCCTTATGGAGTGACAGTGAGGTCCCGTTCATCCTTTCCTGACGAGGACGGGGACATGGGAAGTTCATCGTCGTCTTCTGAGCACTTGGCGGAGGAAAGAGATGAACACTTGCAGCTGTGGGACGCTCCTCCGACACCGCCCCCGCTGCCCCCGCGGTGGGACCCGCTCTTGCCTTCCTTCTTGTGCTTGACTCTGCGGTTCTGAAACCAGATCTTCACCTGCTTCTCGGACAGGTTTAGGTAGGTGGCGATCTCAATGCGGCGCAGACGGGATAGGTACATATTGGAGGCGAACTCCCTCTCTAGCTCTAGAAGCTGTGTGCTGGTGAAAGCTGTGCGCATCCGTTTGCTGCTGGGCAGTTGGCTGGAGGTGCTGTCTGGAGGGAGAAGACCAGAGAAGCAAGAGATCAGATCCCTATATATCTATTCTGCAGACTCCGCATCCCCCTCCCCGCCACCACCCCAGTGTAACTCCATTGGCCCTAGGGCCTCTTCTCCCCTTTTTCAGAATCTTGGGTGCTCACTCAGGAGTGTCCCTGGCTACTATCACCTCTCCATCCCTCCTTCTTACCCCCCCACCCCCGCCATGACCCAGGATTCTCCCCAGCCTGTACTTCATTCACCCTTTATTCCTCCCGTGACTTTCCACCCTGCTCTCCTCATTTACAGCAAGGGAACCGGGAAGGGTGAAGCTTACCCACGGAGATGCAATGGAACTGCCTGGGGTCAGGCAGGGGGTAGGTGGTTTGGTAGAGAGCAGCGGCGGCAGCGGCGGCGGCGGCGGCCGGCCCATGGCTGACCCCGGAGGAGACCGAGGAGTGCTGACGGGCCAGGGGCGAATGGCAGTACTGAGAGCCGAAAGGGGGAAAGGACGCCTTGAGCAGGGGAAGGGCTGGTGGGCCTGGGGGCCCGTGCAGCTGGGAAGCAGTGACACATAGCGGGCAGACGCACAGCAGCCCGGCCTTGCGCGAGTGGCAGGCGCCGGGTGAGAGCCCGTGCAGGGCGTGCGGGGGGTGCATTGCATAGGGGAAGAGAGGGGGTGGGCTGCCCTCGGGCGCCTTCTTTTCCCCAGCCTCCCGCAGCACCAGCGAGTCCACCAAGAAGGAGCGTGGCATGACCCTTCGACCCAATCCCTCCCAGCCCGTCCGTCCCTCTTCAGCTCCGGCCGGCCCCGCCTGCTGCTGCTGTCGCCCGCCGCTGCTGCTGCTGCTGCTACCGCCGCCGGAGAGCCGCTGCGGGAGGAGCCCGGGGGTGCTGGCCAGTTCTACTGGTGCTGAAAGGCGCTGACTGCGCTGCTTAAATAGGACTATTGCCATGTGATGGGCTACGCCAGGAGCGGCGGAGGCCCCTCAATAGGCTTTTTGTGCCTTTTCTCTTGGCATTCACTCTGCACGCTTCCTCATTATTTCACTTGTTAACTAAATGAACTGCATAATGTACTCTATTCTTGTCAACCCCACCCACGCCGTAACTGGCGCCCTCGCCCCCTCCTTTCCCTTTTGCGGGTTTATTTTCTCATTCTCCCGCGATTTAATATTCTTCTCTTTCTCTTTATTCCCCACCCCTTTTTGCTTTTTTCGTTTTCAGTCTGCCCGTTTCACTTATTTATTTTGCATTCTATTCCCCTCTCTTCCCCCAGTCTTTGCGCATCCAGCTCATTCTTTCCATCCTGTCCCCACCTCTACAACTGCTTCCACCTTCCAATCCCAGTTTCCCCTTTCATACTGGTGTTCATTGAACGAACCTGCCTTTACCCAGCTCGGGTTCATTAGGGCGTCGCCTTGGCTCTCGGCCAGGTTTCCCACCTGTGGAATAGCGTCTCCTCTTCCTATGTCTGCCTCAGTTCCCAGCTTGTGGGCTTGAGAAGAGTGTATGGAGTCCGGGGGAAGGAAGAGGAGGGGAACGATGTAGAAAACCTTCATTACTTTGTATTAGTTCCACAACTGAAGTTTCTCTATATTCTCAACTTTTGTGATGTCTGCAACGAACGGTCTTTGTTAAAGATCTGGGGATGAATTTAGTTTTCTCCTTCAGTTTTTTACTTGATAGCGAAATTTTAGTTCCCTCCCCACTTTATTAAAGCTACCTAACGGTGAAAGGAAAGGGGAAATGTGATTTAAAAACTTTGAAAGTGTATCTGCACACCTCTCATATCCACATCGACTCTCCCTCCCTCTCTCTCTCTCTCTCTCTCTGTCTTTCCCTCTCTCTCCTCTATCGCTCACGCTCTCTCTCCACTTATTAAACATGAACAGACTGCGTTTTAGGTTCTCTGTTACTGCTGCTTTCCCCCAGATCAGCTATTCCACACCATTTCAATGGGAGCAGGCTCCTGCAGTTTAACTCCCCTCTTTCTGGATACACAATAGTTAAACAACTTCAAACGCCCTGCGCCGTTTATCCAGGCTCCAGCTTTTTAAATCGTCTCAAAGCAGTTTTACCCAGGAGCTTTTTCCATACAATGGGAAATTAGCACAAATATTTAGAGTTTAGAGACAGAATTTAAAAAAACACACACAACTCTAACCTCTAGGTTTTGATGCTTTGGGCAAAAAATGCTGCTCTGGGTGGGGAGTAGGATGTTATTGGTGTGAAACTAATGATGAAGCTTGTTAGATGCTTTAAATAAGGATCTTAAAGCGCACAGGAACTAGCTACCAAAGACCAAGATGCAGACACCATTTTAAAAATTCTAATCCTTTCCCACAAAAATATAACCGATTAAGAAGCAAGATCTCTGTTGCCAGAGAAAAGAGGTATTTCTTACAGTGTGCTGGGGTGGGGGGAGGCATGGGGGAATAAAATTACCAGTAAGCCTTTAAGAATACAATATTGTCCAGAAATGTCCAGTGCTCTAATTTTCCTTTTCTTCTCCATTAGAATTCTAGGCCACGAACATCCTCAAATATGTAGGCCTTTCGCCAGAGAAGATGGTCAGAAAACCGTCTCAGGACTGGCTCACAAAGCGACTCATCAGAGTTCTCGTTGCGATCGCTTCATTTGGTAACTGGAAATGCAGATGTGCAAAGACTGGAACTGAAGCCTAGGAAAAAGGAAATCTCCCCGTTGGGCTGTGGCCGGCTAGAGGGACTGAAGAGATAGGTAGAGAAGCAGAGGACTTGGCGGGGGGAGTAGTGGGTTAGGGGCTATGGGTGGGAGGCTCTCCAGAGGCCTAAGGAGGGGGGCACCGCTTGCGGCATCCAGAAGTCTAGCCAAGCCTCACTGGTTCCAAGGGCCAGACTTTAGGGTTTACTTCAGATTACGTCCCATCTAAGTTGGGAAGGAAAGGGTTAACAGCCTTTGAATGCACAGCAAGCCCAAAGCTACTGGGAAAGAATATTGAGGAAAAAAATAACCAGGACCTTATTGAATGTCATTGAAGAAAGTTTTGAATGCCAGATAAAGAGAGGCGAATTAAAGTGTGTGACAGCGAAGGCTAAGCGAGCACAAAGGGAACTCTGTCACACTCTGGGGCAAAATCCGGGGGCTTTTTACCAAGTCTCTTCGCTATGATTGAATTAAGTAATAGGAAAACATTTTCTTTCGGTTTAGAGCCATTAGACAAAAACTTCAAAGCGAATAACACTTTTTAATGTGCGGCCCCACAATGGATTCTGCTTTGTGCTGAAATGTTTAAATGGTTTGTTGGGCAACTGTGAGTCAGAGAGACTGAGGCTCCAGCAAAATCACATCCTTGATACTGTCTTCGGAAAGCCGGCAACTAAGAGACATTTAATCCTGGGTCTTTAAACAGGCGATCTCCCCCACTAGCCTGCTTGCGTCGTGCCTGGCAGGAGCTGTTGAAAAAGAGTCATCTGGAGGGTCTTTAAAAGGCGAAGAAGGACGAACCCCAAGAGTTTGATTTTAAAAAATTAAATGTCCAAGGAAAAGCCGGGAAAGGGATGTTATTCTCGGGCATTTGAGCTGCAGACTGTTGGGAAGGCAGGATTTCCGGGGATATCTCAGCCTCAGATGACTCCCCATGGCTTCTAGTCATTTCCTCCCATTTCCTCCTTTCCCCTCCACTCGCCTTCATTATGCCAGTAACCCAGAGTCCTGGAGGCATTGGTATATTTCCCACCTAGCAGCACCTGCAGCTGTGCGGTGTGGCCCAAAGAAGGGTTTCAAACTGTAGCCTTCAACCCCAGTCTTCCCTCTACAGCTCGAAGAATTTATTAATCCCTGGGTGTCAGGGAGCAAAGGCAAGGGAGAACTCCTATTAGTATGGTGTCCCAGTAGGAAAGCATCTCTCACTGTGACCTTCAATAGTGGTTTACTTTTATTTAGCAACTTACAGTTTACAAAAGTTCTTTCCAACAACTCTTTCACCCTGGATTTGGGCTGTGCTCAGCCACAACAAATGACCCCCCCCTTGACCCCACCCCACCCCAAAGGCAGAGAGCCCAGGCTAGGAGCACTGGAAGATTATTTCTGGGAGCACTGGAGAGCTCGATTAATTCAGTTCCCTCTTTTGAAGAACTGGGTTTTATTTGTATATATGAAATAGTGCCATATAAAATCATCGATGTTTTTCTTTCTGATAGTTTTTTTTTTCATTTTGAAATAACAAAGTCTTCTCATCCATTGATTCATCCAATGCATTGAACAAGAAGTTACTAATAAAGACAAAGAGAAGGAAGCCCCCCCCAAATCATCCATGACCTCTAGTAATTTACATTGGGGAGGGGGGAGGAGAGACACACAATAGGAATATCTATAAATAAATGCAAAATTTATACAAAGCGGACACAGTGATTTTCCACCTTCTTCCCTGGCAAATTTGCTTCAAGAGCAGAATGAGAAATATGGAGGACTAATCCTCAAAGTCCTGAGATAGGCCAGTTGGGCAATATAGCTCTTTTCTCTTTCTTTCTTTCCTTCTTTTCTTCTTTCTTTCTTTCCATTCAGAAACATCCCAAGATATCTTGGGGTTTACAGGTTACAGTTCTTTCTTAAGGACCATGCCTAAACCCAAATCACTCCTGCTCTCACTGATTAGCTAACAATAGGTATCAGGCCAAACCCCACTTGGTCATCGATTGGGCCTTGATTGACTAAGAGTGATTGTAAATGGAATTGTTTCTGTTTTGGCCAGAAATTCTGAGGGTCTTTCTCTCCCAGATTTATTATTTTTTTTTTGGACTTGCTTAAAGAGGCCATTATTTGCCTAATTTTTTTTTCTTTACCTAACCTTAATCACTGAATGGGCATTGCCTCAGTCAAAATGAGACCTGCCAAAGACCTTAGCTTTAAAAGGCCAAGGTCTTCCACTGCATCTGGGGCCATCTACAATTGTCCTCATGTGTATCTGGCCACTGGACCCAGATGGCTCTGGAGGAGAAAGTGAGGCTGGCAATTCTACAGAGCCCTTTCTCACTTAAATCCAGTTCATTTGCATTTCATGGCATCATCTCCCTGATGTCATAATCCTCTGCAAGAATGAAGGACAAACAACAACAACTTGAGATAGGTGAACATGGAGAGGAGAGGTCTGATTTGCCTATTTGGAAACCAAAAGACTGGGTATTTGTGATAGAACAGGATAGAGTTATTGGATATCCATCTTTCCTGGGAGCATCTCTGTCTCTCTCTCCCTCTCCCTACCTTTCCCTCTCTCTCCTTCTCTCCTCCCTCTCCCTCTCCTCCCTCTCCCTCACTTTCTCTTCCTTCCTCTCTTCCTGCCTCCCTCTCTCTTCTTCTCTCCCTCTCCTGTTCTTCCATTTAATTTTTATTTTACAACTTAACTCATCACACACTAGCCAGGTTAGTGGAGGGAAAAGAGAAACAAAATCCAGAAGTACAGCAAGTGAGAACCCAAGGATAACCGAGTATGAGAGCAGACTGAGGGATGGGTTCTCAATCAATTGAAAGAAGCTAGTTTGGTCATTAAGATGGAAAAAGAGTTAAAAAAAAATCAAAACACCCAACTGTCTTCTGAGAGCTGTCCACAGTCAGCTATGGTGATCTTACTGTTCTTGCTCACCCTGGAACCAAAACATTCCATAGCTGGTTGATAAATGCTGGTCTAGTGAATCAGTGAATACACACACACATGTGCCTTCTTTCACCTGAGCAAAGACAACTTAGTCTCAGCAATAAGGGATGGAAAAGGAGT